AGCTGCTGCTCAAGTATGGCAACTCTTTTTTTTGCTTCCTGGTAGATTTTGTCAATCATTTCTGTTTTCTGTCTTATATCGTTTGCATTTGGTTTCCGATGTTCGATCTGTCTGTGATGGCTTTCGCTTTCTTGGCATTTCATTTTTATTTCAACCTCTTGAGCTTTTCCAGCATTTTCCACTTTTTTGGTGTTCACTTTACCATCCTTAACATGGCCATGCTTCGATTGAACTGTTTCCCAGTACATTTTTTCATTTTCACTCATTTTTATTTCCGAAGGGTTGCATTTTCTGTCCACTTTTGCGGAGTTTTTGCTTGCCGTTTGGCAGGGTTTCGCGCATTCCTCGGGCTTGGTCATATTTGCGGCTTCCTTGCATTTCTGAAGGTGTGCTTCATTTTTTGGCCTGCATTTGTTTTTCGTTGCGGTTTTGTTTGGATCGGTGTTTCGGAATTCCTTGCATTTTTGTAGATGTGCTTCCTTTTGCAGCCTGTTGAATTGACATGCATTGCATTTATTTGGCATTTCGGTTTTATTCGGATCGGAGTTTGGATATTCCTTGCATTTTTGTGGATGTGCTTCCCTTTTCGGCCTGTTTAATTGATATGCATGGCATTTACCTTGCAGTTCGGGCTTATTCACATCATTGTCTAGAAATTTCTTTATTTGCTCGAGTATGAACTGATTCTTCTGCTTTTCGTTAGCTTCCAAGAACTTTTTCGGAAGTATCGGTCCAGCTGCTTGAATTTTACTAGTGTTGCTTTGAAGCTTCTGGTGTAGGCCCTGAGCATGCTTGTCTTCTAAACGCATTGAGTATGTACTTTTAAGTAACTCACATTGCCTGATAATGTCATCGATCTGTCTAACTTCAGAGTTAATATAATAAATATTAGATTGATCGTTGCTCACGTTCTTCGCATTACATCCTTTCTGCAGCGTTTCGACTTTTGATTGGAATTTTAATGGTTCATCTGAGTTGTTGCTTTGCTTCTCCTTCAATCTCGAGCTGTCCAACTTATCTAACGTTCGCTGGTACGCCATCCAGGATTTACTAAGCGCATTTATATTCGCATCCTTCGGATCCAATAATCTCTTCTCGTTTGTTTGCATGTCCTTAATGCGTCTGGCTTTCTGATAGCGCAGGTCATGCAATTGTGTCTTCGAGTACGCGCTCTTTGTGCTCTTTACAGGATCTAAGAATATGCTTTTATGTGTCGAGCTCAAATCGAAACCTGCATTTGGAAATTTTTGTCCAACAGTACTCATTTTAGCGTTGAGTGCCTTTTTGAGTATAGAAGTCTGGCTTGATTTTTTGCCGAGACGAACGCTGTTCGGCGTATTTTCGGTCGACAAGTGTCTTTTCTGATTGCGTAAGTTATTTCGCTTCTGCATATCATTGACATATTTCGCTATCTTATCTAGTTCCAACTCCTTGCGTTCAGAAAACTGTGCCTCAACTGGGTTACTGCAAATGATATAACTTTCCCATTGCCGCAAATTCTCGAGCGCCTCTTCGAACTTCTTGCTAGGCGGCTGGTTACGCCACAGATCGCTCGAGCTCTGTTTTACCCTGGAGAACAGCGTATTTACGTCACCTTCAAGCAAATCCAGTGTGGATTCTTTTTCAGACTTATTAAAAGCCGATAGGTCCTTACAAAATGTTTGGGTCAGGTACTTATCTTTCGAGTTCTTGGGTGGGCTACACATGTAATCTGACGAGGATTTTTCACTAGATTTGGGTACAGCGACATTTGAAAAAGGAATTGCCTTCAATTTTTTGAAGAGTATGTTTGCTTTCCCACAAAAATTTTCTACTGGATCGTCCGTCTCCTCAATATTGTTTGAAGAGTACATATTTGGATTGCCCTTTATGGATTTAGCTTGGCTGCACGAAAATGGCACTTTCTGGCCGGACTTTTTGCCAAGAGCACTTCGGACTGTTGCTCCTTTATCTACAATTTGGCGAGAAAGGGAAGGGGACCTTTGACTTCTAACCTGAAAATTTGACAGAGGATTTGAAACACCAGACTTTGATCCAGAATAAACTGATATAACATTTGGAGTATTCGGTTTCTTCTCCTGCATTTTGATTTCAGATTTTTTGCAAAAGAATTTCTCTGTACGCGAATCTGCTTTTTGGGTCTTTGGTTTCGCATCGCAGTTGATGCAACGTGTATTTCCAGATTTTTGAGGTTTTTGTTTGGCTGTGAAATCGGTAGACCGAATATTGCTGGGGCGTTGATCCAACAGTATGACGTCTTCTGTTGGATTTGGCACTATTATGGATTCAGCAACATTTTTTAATTGTTCTTGTTGCGAAGAGAAATAAATATTTAAAGATTTACGCTTCTCTGCCTTTGGCCACTTCATTTTTTCTGTATTGCATGCTATTATATTACTCTCTTTCGTCAACTGCTCTGGCTTTATTTCTACGGTCTTCTTGGAGACACGGTCCGGTATTGAAAATAGCTCACTTTTGGCAGATGATGGCTCCTCGCAATCGTAGAATTTGTCGCTCTGTGTTTTTTTTACCGAAGTGTTTGGTTCATACAATAGTTGCTTTAAGCGATCTAGAAACTTCTTAGAACCACCATACCAAGATGATTTAATTGGTGCTCGCTTGCGCGACATATGACGTTTGGGGTAGGCTTCAGCTTTTCTGTCTGCAAAAATGTGCCGCTTTGTAGAGCTTTCAGTTTTTTCTGCTGAGTGTACATTCCATTCGAAGTATACTTCATTTTTATTCTCAATTGGTAGACTTTGCCTGGCATAGATTTCAGTTGTCTTTTTGGCTGATGGTTTCCTGCTAGAATTTCTATCGCATAGGCTGGAATTGGAGTTCTGCTGGCGGGAGTAAGCAGAACAACTTTTAAATTTTGTTTCTGGATTCTTCTGAACGGCACGGCCAGCCACCCCAACACGACACGGCTCCTTTTCAGATGGATTCTTATTTGAGTCAATGCATCGCGGCGGTTGCGAACGCGGGGAACCCCTAATGTTGCGGTTTACTTCTGCCGGTAGCTGGCAACGCTTGCATCCGTTCAGAATTGGCTGCAGCTGTACACAATTGCAAATACGCCACATGTTGGCAACGAAATGCAAGTGAATTTTGTTCAAAATAAAAAACCAAATATGTATGTACTTATATATCATTTATATCTATGCCCAACGATAATTTTTTTTTTAAATCTGTTAAATCTGATGAGAAGACTGATTAAAAAGTCAAAACGCTTTCTGTATCATCTACAGTTTTATTCCGTTTTGAGCGTCCAATAATTCTTTAGCCGATTTCTTCAATGCATTTGTCTCCCATTCCGATAGCTGGGGACGAACGATGCCAAACAGACCCCATTTGTTTACAATGCATGGTAGCGATAGAAATATATTCTCTTTGATACCACACATTCCATTTGCATTCGTTGACAATGACAAGACACGATTGCTGTTCTCAAATATGGCAGACACCACATCGGCAACGGTTAGGCCAATGGCCCAATTCGTGTAACCCTTTCCTGCGATCACCTTGAATGCGGCATCTACTACATCCTTGTGCACTTTGGACCATTCCATTGGATCCTCTCCCATACCCATAGTGGGAATCAACTTCTGAAGTCTCACCCCACCCACAGTAACTGCGGACCACATGGGCACCGAAGATCCTCCATGCTCCCCAAGGACATAGCCGTGTACTGAGCTTGTCGATACGCCCAAAAGTTTGCCAATAAATAATCGGAAACGTGCTGTATCCAAATGACAGCCCGTACTGATGCAACGCTCGCAGGGTATTTTACCTACTTTGTGGGCCACCCAAGTCATGACGTCCGCTGGATTGGACACAACAATATACACCGCCTTGGGGCTCTGTTGGACTAGATCCGGTATTACGCTCTTGATAATGTCCGCACTCTTTTGGGCCACTTGCAAACGAGTCTCATTCTTCTTGACACGTGCTCCACACGCCACGATAACCACTCTGGAGTCTTTGGTAGCCTCAACGTTGCAAGTTGGCTCCAGGTTACAATTGTTGAGGAATAATGAGCCGTGCTGCAGGTCCAAGGACTCGGCTTTACACAGTTTCTCATTGATATCGTAGAGAGCCAAGTGATTAGTAACGCCCTTTGCGAGCAACGATATGGCACACCCCATGCCAACAGCGCCGGAGCCTATGACAGAAACCTTGTTGCCAAACTCGTAGTCCTGTTTATCAAAACTTTTATACAGACAGGTACGAAACGCATTCAAAAGTTTCTGGCTCTTGCAGTTGGAGCTCGACATTCTGCGAAAGGCAGTGGCACGTTCAGAATATACTGTAACGGCCTTCGCATGCAACCGTCTTATGCCTCTCCTAGTAACGCATGATGTGGGTGTATTTTGAATGCCGCAAAGGAAGTACTTGATGATCATGCCGAATGCTCTCACATAAGATTTTAGCAAAAAATTTAGAATCTACCAAAAGAAGAACAACTTTCAGAAACACATAAAATCTTAAATAAAAAAATGACAATTGTTAGCTGGGTTACTACGAGAAAAAATGTTTTTTTTTTTTAGTCATATTTCATTTTTTTTTATTACTGTTACAATTTTGATTATGTTAAACATCTCAATTTTTATTTTTACTGGTTTCGAGTGCTTTCATATTCAAGGATTTAAAAAGCAAAACGACGAAAATTTAAGCAAGAATAGGCAGACAGCACGCCTGATTTGAAATGCTATCACCAGATATATTCACTTTCGAGAGATATTTTTGAACCATGGTAATCCTTCAGAATGATACAGAATGTGGATTCCATACAGTTGGTTCAGGTTAGCAGAAGCTATATATCGCAATATAGTATGGATATTTGTATTCTTTTTTTTTTTTTTTTTTTTTTGTATGATGGGATGTTTTCATTCGGTTAGAGTTGAAGGTATATATGAGCATAACTTAGCTAGCATAGACTAAATCTTGATTTCTTTTCTCTTTTTGACCTTGCCGTGGCAAAAAAAAAAAAACAACGATCATTTTAAAGGGTTTTATGGGCAGCAGGTATAAAGCTGTGCCAAAACCAAGCAAACTATATATTTATTAAGGATATTAAACTTAACTGAAGGCTCGGTTCATTTTTTGCTACAGTTTAATTGTTTTCTGTGCGTCCAGCAATACGTCTGCGGACCTTTTGAGCCTTCTTTCCTCCCAACCGGAAAGCTGAGGATGTATTACACCATACAGTCCACACTGGTTGACAATACATGGCAGGGATAGAAACACTTCATCGTCGATTCCACACATGCCCTGGGCATTAGTTGACAATGACATGATTCGATTGCTGTTTTCAAAAATGGCAGACACAACGTCTGTAACGGTGAGGCCAATGGCCCAATTAGTATAACCCTTACCCGCGATTACTTTGAAGGCCGAATCCACCACGCTCTCATGCACATTTGACCAGCGCATCGGATCTTTATCGGTGCCAATGGTAGGAAGCATATTCTGCAGTCGGGTACCTCCCACGGTTACGGAGGACCACAATGGCACAGAGCTATCTCCATGCTCGCCCAGCACGAATCCATGCACCGAACGCGTCGACACCCGCACCAGCTGCGCAATAAACATGCGGAATCGGGCGGTATCCAAGTGACATCCAGGACTAAAACAGCGCTCATAGGGCAGTTTGGTTACTTTACGGGCTACCCAGGCCATTACATCTGCTGGGTTTGATACAATGATGAAGACTCCTTTGGGGCTTTGCTTAACTAGCTCAGGAACAATTTCTTTTATAATGCCCGCTGATTTTTGGGCCACTTTCAATCGCGACTCGTTTTGATTACAGCGAACTCCAGCTGTTACAACTACCACTCTCGAATCTTTGGTGCACTCGACGCTGGTGCAGTGGTCAATATTGCAATTATTAAGAAAAAGTGATCCATGTTCCAGGTCCATGCACTCTGCAGCACACAAGTCCTTCTTCAAGTCGTAGAGAGCTATGTTATTGGTGATACCCTTGGCAAGCAAGGCAATGGCACAACCCATGCCCACGGCCCCAGCACCAATGACAGACACCTTATTACCGGGCTGAAATTCTTGTTTCTCTAGTGTTTTGTAAAGAATTGAGCGAAATGAAGTAGGATTTAGTTTTTGAGCCTCTTCCTCGCTCTTCTTCTGAACCGCATTCTCGCACTCGTTTAGAGGCTCGGCTTCATTATTTTTTGTGCTCGGAGCATCTGCTTCGCAATTTTTCTTTTGACTCTCCTCTTGTTTCTTGTTTTTAGCGGCGTCTTGCATTTTTTTCAATTCACACCTTTTCCTGAGGGCCATCTCCTCCACCTTTTTCTTGAGTTCTTGGCACTTTTTCTGTAAAGCTTCCGCTTCGCATTTTTCTTTTAGAGCCTCTGATTCCTTTTTAATTTGAGCATCTTTTTGATTATTACTAGCACTGTCTTGCGGTTTTTTCATGGCACACTCTTCCTTGAAAGCCATCTCTTCCATCTTTTTCTTCAATTCTTGGCACTTTTGCTCTAAAACTTCCTGTTCGCATTTTTTCCTTAGAGCCTCTATTTCCTCTCTAATCTGAGCATCTTTTTGTTTCTCTCCAGAGGTTTCTTGCTTTTTTTTCATTGTGCACTTTTCCTTGACAGCCATCTCTTCCACTTTTTTTTTAAGTTCTTGACACTTTTTTCGTAGAGCTTCCTCTTCGCATTTCTTTTTTAGAGCCTCTTCCTTTTTCTTTAGAGCTTCCTCTTCGCACTTTTTCTTTTGAGCCTCCTCTTCTTGTTTTTTCTTTTCAGCGGCATCTTGAGTTTTTTTCATTTCGCACCTTTTTCTGAGAGCGTCCTCTTCCTCCTTTTTCTTAAGTTCTTGGCACTTTTTCTGCTGAGCTTCCTCTTCGCATTTCTTTTTTAGAGCCTCTTCTTGTTTCTTCTTATCAGCGGCATCTTGAATTTTTTTCATTTCGCACCTTTTTCTGAGAGCGTCCTCTTCCTCCTTTTTCTTGAGTTCTTGGCACTTTTTCTGCTGAGCTTCCTCTTCGCATTTCTTTTTTAGAGCCTCTTCTTCTTGTTTCTTCTTATCAGCGGCATCTTGAATTTTTTTCATTTCACACCTTTTTCTGAGAGCGTCCTCTTCCGCCTTTTTCTTAAGTTCTTGGCACTTTTTCTGCTGAGCTTCCGCTTCGCATTTATTTTTTAGAGCCTCTTCTTTTTTCTTAAGAGCTTCCTCTTCGCACCTTTTCTTTTGAGCCTCGTCTTCTTGTTTCTTCTTTTCAGCGGCGTCTTGAAGTTTTTTCATTTCACACCTTTTTCTGAGAGCGTCCTCTTTCGCCTTTTTCTCAAGTTCTTGGCACTTTTTCTTTTGTTCTTCCTCTTCGCATTTCTTTTTAAGAGCCTCTTCCTTTTTCTTTATAGCTTCCTCTTCGCACTTTTTCTTTTGAGCCTCCTCTTCTTGTTTCTTCTTTTCTGCGGCGTCTTGAATTTTTTTCATTTGGCACCTTTTCCTAAGAGAGTCCTCTTCCGCCTTTTTCTTAAGTTCTTGGCACTTTTTCTGTAGAGCTTCCTCTTCGCACTTTTTCTTTTGAGCCTCCTCTTCTTGTTTCTTCTTTTCTGCGGCGTCTTGAATTTTTTTCATTTGGCACCTTTTCCTAAGAGCGTCCTCTTCCGCCTTTTTCTTAAGTTCTTGGCACTTTTTCTGTAGAGCTTCCTCTTCGCACTTTTTCTTTTGAGCCTCCTCTTCTTGTTTCTTCTTTTCAGCGGCGTCTTTAATTTTTTTCATTTCGCACCTTTTTCTGAGAGCGTCCTCTTCCTCCTTTTTCTTAAGTTCTTGGCATTTTTTCTGTTGAGCTTCCTCTTCGCACTTTTTCTTTAGTGCCTCTTCTTCTTGTTTCTTCTTTTCAGCGGCGTCTTTAATTTTTTTCATTTCGCACCTTTTTCTAAGAGCTTCCTCTTTCGCCTTTTTCTCAAGTTCTTGGCACTTTTTCTTTTGAGCCTCCTCTTCTTGTTTCTTCTTTTCAGCAGCGTCTTGAATTTTTTTCATTTGGCACCTTTTTCTGAGAGCATCCTCTTCCGCCTTTTTCTTTTGGGCCTCTTGTTGTTTCTGTAAAGCTTCGTCTTGTATTTTTTCAATGCGCATTTTTTTCTGAGAGCTGCCTCCTCGCACTTTGCCTTAAGAGCTTCTTTCTCCTGTTCTTCTTTCTCTACTTCGCACTTTTTCTTTAAAGCCTCCTCCTCGCAATTTTTCTTTTGGGCTTCTTGCTCCTTCTTTTGGGGATCGTCTTCCTTCTTATTTTGGGCCCCCTCTTCTTGATTCTTATTAGCCGCCTCTTTACACTTTTTGCGTAAAGCCTCCTCCTCACATTTTTTCCTAAGGGCCTCCTCTTCACATTGTTTCTTAAGGGCCTCTTCCATGCACTTTTTCTTAACTTTTTCGATTTCACCTTTAATAAAAGCTTCCTCCTCGTTTTTTAATTTCATCGCCTCTTCTTCTAACGCCTTCCGTTGTTGAATCTTTTCACATTCGTCCTGATCAGCATTCGTTCCTTCCGATTCATTACTCGTTTTCTTTGGATGTACGTCCTTTCTATTCTTAGGCTTTACTGTTACACTTTCCGCGCACATTTCTGTCAACACTTTCTTTCTACATTTCTCTTTAACAAGCTGCGACATGCATTTGTGAGATCGGGCTAGCTGCATCTTTTCACTATTGCTTAGTGCATTCCGACACTGACAGATATCTTCCCACTCTTTTTGAATACATTTCTCTAATTTCAAAGTAAATTGATTTTTAGGCCCATCGGAGTTATCAAACGGATTCTCCTTATTTGCCAATTTACAGCATATAGATTCTATTGGATCGCTTTGTTCCAAGTCATCACCTCCGTTTTGTTTTTTAGACTTTTCCTTACTTATTTGATCCTTTACTTTTTCTTTAACCTTCTCCGTTTTTGACTTGTTTTTCGATGTTTCTTTTTGCTGGCTTTGATCTTTCTCTTTTTGGCTTCCATTACCATCTTTTCTTACGGTACCTTCCTTACTTCCCTTCCTCCCTTTCTTTGATTTAAGCTCCTTCGGTTTTTTAGACGATTTTTTTGAGTCCTTTTCCTCAGCAGACTTTTTTTTCTCGCAATGCCTCAATAATTTCTTGATCTTATCATTTTTAGCCATCATTGCCAATTTGTTTTCAAGTTCTTTATCATTGCAAAGCTTCTTATGAGCTAGTTTTTTACACGCCTTCTTCATGCCTCTTGTCAAACATTCCATCATACTTTCCATTAATTTTTTTTCCTTCTGGTCCATACAATGCATTGCGTCATCCAGAAGCTTCTTTTGACTTTTCATACATTTTTCCTCATATTTCTTAAGTTTTTCTTTTTCTTTCAGCTTCTTGCAGGCCGCTTCTAGCTTCTCCTTTTCTTCTCGCTTTTTATCCATTAATTTCGTGTAGTATTCACAAGGATTTGGCTTGTCTTCAGAGGAATCCGAAGAATCCGATTTTTTACAAAAGCTCACGCGTTGCATGAACTTTATCGAAGTCCTCGGCAAACGCATTCGATCCAAATAGCCCGTAAGCAGAAAAATGCTTCTCAAAACGGACTTACGGACATAAATGGATGTAAACCTATTAAAAGACATGCTGTAGGCCTTATTTAAATTTTGACGCCGCAAATAACGAAAATAATAAAATTTTATGTAGTCCAAGAAATTGTTGTGGCTAAAATTTTGACATTATTGAGGCCCGAAAAAAAACTGTTTCGTACACTAGTCTAATTGTAACTGAGCTGCTTTTCAAATATTAAACTATACACTTTTTGAAATGAGTACTAGATATGCATATAAACAGGTTAGTTAGCACGGAAAAATAATTGTACAATAAAAATAAAGATCCCATTTATTCCCTTTCTTTGATTCTCAGCCTTTAATATAAGTAAATTAATTTTGGAAAATGCAGGAAACTTTTTAAGCTAATCTAAATGAGTAGCATGCATTTCATAGAATCCTTTAATTATTTTATTTACCGCTTATTTGTATTTTAAGCAGATGCAATTAAGAAACATCCGTCAATACCCGATACATACTATATCCAGTTGTTGTTCCAATACAAGCAAAAACGCTAAAAAAAAACAGCAACATCGCTTCCCACTTTTCATGTTTACACAATTGGTAATAAAATATTAATGGATGTTATTGGCTCCAAATTAACAACCGACTTTATTCATCTACCTGATTTTGAGATATTTACGTTAAAAGGAACAAGTTTTTATTTAAAAAAAATGTATATAATCCATGGCGTGAGGGCTACTTGACTATATTTTCAGCGTATCATTCGGTTATTTGAATGGATCGCATTCACACCCCTTAGTTGCGGCATCTTTCTGTTTATTTTTTTTAAGAGCCTCTTCTTCGCGCTTTTTCTGATGAGACTCCTGTTCACATTTTCTCTTGAGGTCGTCAAATTTCTTTTGCAGAGAGTCCTGTTCATTGTTTTTCTTCAAAATTGTCTCTTCTGCCTTTCTCTTTAGATCCTCATCTTCTTTAGCTTTTTTAAGAGCCTCTTCTTGATTAAGAGATTCCTCCAGCTTTTTTCTAAGAGCCTCTTCTTCCATCTTTTTTTCTTGGGCCTTTTCTTTTTGCTTTTGACTCGCCTCTTCGCACAGTTTTTTAAGCTCCTCCTTTTCTTGGCTTTTCTTAAGAAGCTTGTCCTCGCACGTTTTCTTAAGTGACATCAGCGTTTTGCGTAAAGTTGCTTCGTTGCAATTTTTCTTTAGAGCATCGGCATCTTCTCTTCTTTTTTGAGCCTTTTCTGCTTCCTTTGCCATTAGGGCATCTTCTTCTGTCTTTTTTTTAAGAGCTTCATCTTCTTGCTTTTTCCTGAAAGCTGCTTCTTCTGCTTTCTTTTTATTAGCCTCTTCTTCTTTCAGTTTATTAAGCGCTTCCTCTTCCTGCTTTCTCCTTCTTGCCGCCTCCTCACACTTATTCTTTAGAGCCGCCTCTTCTTTTTTAAGAGCCTCTTCAGCTTCTTTCCTTACTGCATCCTCTTCTTTATTTTTCTGTTCTTTATTTTTCTTGGGAGCCGCTTCTTTACGCGTTTTCTGTGCGGCTTCCTTTTCGCACATTTTCTTTGGAGCATCATCCTTTTTTGTTTTTTTCTTGTTGCTCGCATCTTGTTTTTTCATGTGAGCTGACTTTTGGCATTGTTTATTAAGTTCTTCCTGACAACTTTTTTCGTTTGTACGATCACCTTGATTTTCCGTTTTATCTGCCCCCTTAGATTGATTCTGAAAAGCTTCCCCCATACACTCGCCTTGCTGTTTCTGTTGAGCCTCTGCCTCGCACTTTATTTTCTTAGCTTCCTCTGTTTTAATCTGTTTCTCTGGTTTTTTTTTTTGAGCCTTATCGTCATTCTGATTTTTTTTAGGCATGTTCTCACACGGTTTCTTAGGATCCCCCGCGTCTGTCTTTTTCTTTTGAGCCTCCGTATTTTCAGCTGTCTGTTTACACTCGTTCTGCTGCGCTCGATCTCCTTGATCATCCTGCTGTTTTTTATCGAGCTTACATTCCGAGTTTGGTTCTGCAGATGTGCCACACATCTCGTTCAATACCTTTATTTTGCACATATCCTTTATTTGAGCGGCAAAGCACTTGTGAGAAAGTGTAAGCTTTTCCTGCTCTTCTTTTGTTAGGCTTTTACGAGTCTCACAGATATCGGCCCACTCTTTGCGAATGCATTTCTTTAGTTTCAGTAAGTATTGCTCTTTTGGACTGTCCGATTTTTCGGTCGGTTCCTTAGTTTTACACAATTTTAAGTAGAGACATATATTTTCTATTGGATCCACGTTTTCCTGACACAGTTCGGGCTTATCACTTTTATCTTTATTTGACGATTCAGCCTCCACCGATTTTGCTGAATCTTTTTGGCAACTATCTTTCGCTTTATCGGCCATTTTGTCTTGATTTTGTTGTTTTACCTTTGTTTTTTCTTCGCTTTCTATTTTTTTCTGTGGTTTGTCATCTTTTTTTTCCGCACCGTCTTTTTTCTCATTTTTGGACGCATCTTTCGGCGATTTTTTCAGGGATTCTTTGCAAGAGGCTATTTTTGTTTTGCCAGATTCACGATGCTCGGCTTTTTGATTTTTTACCTTTGTTTTTTCTTCGTTTTCTATTTTTTTCTGTGCTTTGTCATCTTTTTTTACCGCATCGTCATTTTTCTCTTTTTTGGAAGCATCTTTCGGCGATTTTTTCAAGGATTGTTTGCAAGAGGCTGCTTTTGATTTGCCAGATTCCTGATGCTCGGCCTTTTGCTTCTTACACTGTCCCAACAACTTTCTGATTTTATCTTTTTTAGCCAATTGGGCACACTGATGTTCAAGATCTTTTTCTTCTTTGAGCCTCTGCTCGGCTCCTGTCTTACATGCCTTTTTCATGCCTTTTTCCATGCACTGCATCATACCTTTTAGTACCATTTGTTCCTCCTTGCTCATGCTCTGCATCTCCTTATCCAAAGCTTTCTTTTTTTCCGCCAAACATAATGTCTCGAATATCTTTAGCTTTTCCTCATCTGTCTTTTTCCCCGCATCATTTTCCTTGTTACAATTCACTTTCTCCTCTATGTTGATGTGTTCTGTATCCGAAGAACCAGTACCAGAACCACATTTACTACTAAAGGGAAATCTCTGAAAGTTGTTTAACGAGGCCCTCGGTAGATGCGTTCGCTCCTCATAGTCGGTTATGATGGAAACGCCTCTGGTGAGGGCTTTTCGCAGAAAAATGGTAGTAAAGCGACCAAAAAACATAGTCGGTGGATTCTAAAATTTTGTGGACCAATTAACCAAACTATACCAAATGTCTTTACTAGATGTAGTGTAAATTTTGGCTTATTTTATTTACAGTTTTGGCTAAAATTTTGACATAATTGGAGCTCTAAAATAAACTAAGTGAGATGCCTGAATTTTTTTTTGACTGTGTAGATTTTAAAAATTTTGAATTGTCCCATTATTTGTAAACTTTGCAATAGGACTTGCTCCCATTTGTACACAGCGGGCCGTATCGTTTCTGTCATTCAAATGTAGCATATAACACAAGAGGCTCAAGTCAGGAGTTTCCGACTAGGAGGTGCCCTGAATCCTCTTCTACCAACTCCATATGCCGCTCACGCTACGTGCTCGTTTGCTCTAGCGTTAATAAAAATAAACTTACAAAAATCTCGTGCCCTTAATAGGACTCGAACTCGTATCACTACTTGCAATCGTCTCTAATGGCTCAACAGCAAAACCAACAACTATTCGATACTGAAAAATTAACTAATTTAAATAGCAGAACATGCGCACAGCACAGAATAAAATACAAATCCAATTTTTCAATATATCCCATTGAATATTTGTACAATCTCAAAATGTCAATTGCATTTTAATTGTGGCTTAAATTGGTGGGCAATACAAATTTGTTTATTTACTTAACTTATAGATATGTGTTGGTAGCGGGAAGGTTGCGATAGCTATAAAATGAAAGATACTTTATATATATATGTCGGAACAGAGAAATCACTTTCTTTGCAATTAGGCATACTGGCAGTACAGCAAGTCCCGAGTGTCGTTATAGTCACAAAATAATTATATTTTTAGGAGCGAGCACGTCTGTTCTCTATGACTTCCACTTTTAGAATCAATAATTTTCATCGTCCTCGAGCATACTACTCATGCTCTTGTCATTCTATATTCTTCTCTGACTTTTAGTACTGTTAGTGAACATTCAACACTATAGCAAACTGGACGTTATACAACACACTCGGGCCATGCTCGGCAGAGACTATCTTTTTTGTCTCACACCATGCTTTCAGTAGCAACCCTAATACAAGTAGGACAGTTATGTTAAATAGCAGTACCTTCTGTCAAATTCTCTGATTCTTACTAACACTTAATCGTTAGCATTCAAAATAATACTCACAATAATTTATTGGATACACGACACGGCCTTCCTGACATTTCACACGTCCTCGTGTGTACATTTCGCTTAGATCATGCCATAGTCAAAATTGTTGGGTAAAATTTATTAGTCATTACTTTACTTTAAGAATAGCTTTACAAACAGCAGTATCATCGGTCATTGTAGGTTTTATTTTTTTTTATTTTTTTTTTTTTTTTTTTTTTTTTTGTTGTTGTTCTGTCATCACACGTCTATAGGCTCTTGCTGCCCAGCAACGATAACATGGAGCGGATCCATACAGGTCTTTCAACCTCTGACCCCCGCCATAATATCACCCGCTTCAGCACGCCATGATCGAGCACTTGTGCACGGCGTGAGTATTATGGTGCGGTCTTAGCCATCGTGTATGAGCCCAACCGCACTCTCTCTTAGTGCCACAGTGTCTTGAGCAATGTCCTCAACATTGTCACACTCATCATCTCTCAAATCTATCAACTCCTCCGATACATTGTTGCTTGGAAAAGCTCGCAAATACTCATGTGCATACTTAAACGTGCGCTTACTCGTCAATGACTTTAATAAATATCTGTCTCCATCAAGTATTTCGATTATCTCAAAAGGTCCCTTAAACTTGGGATCTAACTTCGTTTGATTTCGTTCTTCCCTCTTGAGTAGGACATGATCACCAAGCTTATATTTTACAATTTTTGCTTTATTTTTATCAAACCTAGCCTTATCATATTTAGCGTTATTCACCATGTTATCTTTCGCTTGTGCTCTTATTAAATCTTTATCAATTGTTTTTTCATCTGATATTGTTATCATTCCTAACGGCCTTGCCTCTTTACCGATTAGCAATTCTAACGGACTATATTTCGTTACACGATTTGTCGTGCAATTTATTGCCAGCTGTATGTCTTTTAAAGCGTCTTGCCAGGATCGCTGACTACTCTCAACCGCTGTGAGCATGCTCTTCAAGGTGCTCATGACACGCTCTACTTGGCCGTTTGCTCGACTGGCGCCCGTCGCAATCAGGTGTAAACCTATCTTCTGCGAAGAACAAAATTCCCTAAACCTTGTGCTAGCAAAACATTTACCCTGATCAGCTATGATGCGTGCCGGCACTCCGAATAGTGCAACAGTTTCTTTGACTGCCTTAATGCAGTTTTCCGTATTAAGGTTCAGCGTATGTTGAAGGTGAACAAATTTTGTGAATGCATCAACTTGAACTATGATGTACTCTTTTAAGTCGTTTTTGCCACTTAATTTTCCGGTTATATCAATATGCACAGTGTGCCAGGGTATGTCATCTTTAGGAATCGGGTGCATTTCTATTTGTAGCTTACCAGATGGTGGTTTTGACACTCTACAGGTAATGCAATTTTCTACAAACTTTTTCACATACTTAGACATCTTCTCGAACCAGTAGTTGGCATACATTTTGTCTAGAGTTTTCTTCCACCCTAAATGCATTATGGCTTCGTGAACATTGTTAATGACTGACCATCTAAAGGCTCTAGGTATTACAGGCAAACATTTTGTGCTGCCATTTCTTTGAATCCTTCGATATAATACTCCTGCTCTCAATTCGTACGACGCTGAGATAGCTTCTCCCATCTTATGGTTTCGCAATTTTAAGGTTATGGAAGCAATGTCAGAATCTCGTTGCTGTTCGGCTAGAAGCCAATCGTCGGTTATCTCAGCTAGGTTTATGTGCATTTCAACCGTTTTCGCTGAGGATTTATAATCAGTAGGCAACGGATTGCGCGAGAAAAAATCAGCATGTAACATGCGTTCTCCCTTCCTGTATTCAATGCTGAAATCAAATGATTGCAGATATGCCCACCATCTATGTACCCTTGGGGTAAGGTTAATTTTTTTGATACTTGCTTTCAGGGAGTTGCAATCTGTATGCACAATAAATTTTTGACCATGTAAATAATGGCGGAAGTGTCTTACTGCGTTGTAAACTGCGAGGGTCTCAAGCTCGTATGAATGATATTTTGCTTCAGCCATTGTCGTACATTTGCTGTAATATTCAATGACTCTGGGTCTATTTTCTATCTTGTGCATTAAAATAGCACCATATCCAATAGAACTTGCGTCTGTATGTAATTCAATTGGCTTTAGTGGATCGAAAATTGTCAAAACGGAGTCATTAGTCAAAATTGATACGATTTTTTGACGAATTTCCTCATATTCCGGCTTCCAGACAAATTTATTATTCTTGGAGGTGAGATTATATAAAGCTTTCATCTGCTCAGAAAATTTTGGTACGAATTGCCTAAAATACGAGGCTAGGCCTATGAATTGTCGCACCTGCGTTACTGACTGCGGTGACGGCAATTCGGCCAACGCTTGTATCTTGCGTGGATTTGGTCGAATTTGACCCGCTTCAACCAAGTATCCTAAATATTCTATGCTTGTTTTCAAGAACGAGCATTTTGTAATGTTAAATGAGAATCCAGCTCTAGACAAGTTTTCCAAGACCGTTTGTAGCCTTTCAAGTGCCTCTTCCTTTGTCTTCGCTAGAATTAACACGTCATCTATATAGACGATGGCATACGTTTGAGCCAAATCACCCAATGCTCTCACGATTGCGCGCTGGAAAATCGAGGAAGCATTTTTTAATCCAAAAGGCATGGCCAAAAATTCATACTGTCCTTCTGGCGTGACAAAAGCAGTGCGCTCGATAGAGTCTGGGTGTATTGGAACTTGGTAAAAACCACTTGCCATGTCTAAACTGGAGAAATATTTGCCTTCACTCAGTCTATTAATTTGATCAGAAATCAAAGGCAGCGGATATTTGTCAGCGACCGTATTAGCATTCAGTTCCCGATAATCGACACATAGTCGATCGGTTCCATTTTTCTTTCTTACCATCAGCATTGGGCTTGCAAATGGAGAGCAACTAGGACGTATAACGTTTGCGTCTAACAATTCTTTTACTTTATTTCGCACGACTTCTTTTTCTTCTATGCTTAACCTATACGGACGCCTTTGTACAGTTTTATTTGGGTCAAGCAGGCGGATTTCAAGTTCACCCGTAGTCACTCGCGTTTGAGGAATACCCTCAATAAATTTATCAGCATAGTTTTGCAATAATTCTAGCAGACGATTCTTATCAGTGTTGCTTAATGCTCTATCGTTATTCAGATGCTCTACGTAACTTATATCTGGCACTTTTATTAGTACATCAACAGTTTTGGTTTTGTACATTTCAAATTTGTCGGCCTCGATGGAGACTCCAAAGCCTAATCCGAGTATATCACGGCCTATCAATACATCGTATTTCAAAAACTTATCCATTATTACATGAAATAATATTTCTAAGGAGTACTGATCAATTTTAACAGTAGCCAAGATTTGCATAGTGCTATACACAGGATTTTCTCCAATACCCCTCAAAACTATCAAATTATTAATTCTTTTTCCGGAAAATTTCTCGGCACAACTCTCTCTGATGAGCGTACATTCCGCTCCAGAGTCAAAACAAAATGGAACGAGCTCACCAGATTGACGCAGGATTCCTTTTGGCTCGGACACACAACAGATGTTTATACGCTTGTCATGTGATCCAACACCGCTCGTAGAAACTCCTTTCGTACATGAAGACGCAATGTGGCCAGCATCGCCACATTTGAAGCAGGTAACGGCAGATCGAACTTTAGGTAATGCTGAGTTTTTTGACACGTTGCCTTCTTCATACTTCCTCTTGCGACATTCGACCATTTTGTGTCCGAGGTTTCCACAATGATGACATTTAATGCCATATGTTTTCGATCTCTTGCGATCTGGTTCCATTGGGATATTTGGCTGTAGACCTCCATTTGACCTTCCATAAGCATAGGCCTTCAGATGCTGTTGCATCTCGTCTTGACTTTTAATATTAGTCGTATATAACATACGTTGCAGACTTTTGTCGATTTTCGATGTATGTGCCAAAACAACTGAGACTGCAATTTCCTCCATGTTCGCTGTCTTCCATTTGGATAAAAGTGAGGTCACAAGACGGCTCGCATATACGGAGAGGCATTCGCCATCATTCGGTCGGCCATTAAAAATGTTCATTAAAGTTGCCGCCGATGTTTCCATTCCCACGAAACGTTGCAAAAACAATTCCTTAAAATTTTGCCAGTTCATTCCAGTATAGCATATTTGAGAAAGCCAGGGCGAGGCGCTTCCTTCTAGGGAGCCGCTGAGGGTCATCACCAGTGTACTGCCCTCAATAGGATTATCGTCAAGTATTATGTCCACAGTTTTGCACCAGGCATTTGCATCTGCGCCTGCAATGTCCGGGTTGAACTTTGGCAACGAGATGCTCTTCTTTGTTGAGGATGCTGAATTTGACATCTGCATTGCTTTAATAATCTCAAGAATATTTCGATTTTGAGATTCCAAAAGCTGACGCCACGAATCGTCAGAATTGCCTCGTGGAGGGGCATCGCCTAATCCCACTTCTGATGTCGGAACAGAGAAATCACTTTCTTTGCAATTAGGCATACTGGCAGTACAGCAAGTCCCGAGTGTCGTTATAGTCACAAAATAATTATATTTTTAGGAGCGAGCACGTCTGTTCTCTATGACTTCCACTTTTAGAATCAATAATTTTCATCGTCCTCGAGCATACTACTCATGCTCTTGTCATTCTATATTCTTCTCTGACTTTTAGTACTGTTAGTGAACATTCAACACTATAGCAAACTGGACGTTATACAACACACTCGGGCCATGCTCGGCAGAGACTATCTTTTTTGTCTCACACCATGCTTTCAGTAGCAACCCTAATACAAGTAGGACAGTTATGTTAAATAGCAGTACCTTCTGTCAAATTCTCTGATTCTTACTAACACTTAATCGTTAGCATTCAAAATAATACTCACAATAATTTATTGGATACACGACATATATATGTATACTATTCTAGAACCCACATGTCTAGTATAGTGACTAGCTCTAAAAACAGGAGCTTGTCGAATATCGAAAGCAAAGCTAACTCTCCAGCTCTTATAGGTTCTTGCGTTCATACATACGGACGGACAGACATACAGAGACATGGCTTAATAACTCGGCTATTGATGCTAATCAAGAATATACATACTTTATGGTGTCAGATATTTCCTTCTGCATGTTACATACATTTGCACAAATACATTACATACATGATATCATATTGTAGTGTGATCTTGGTTTGGCTAATAGAAAGGGGGCCTAGTGAGACTATTAAATAAGTTTGGTCAAGATATCTTGATAAATAAAAATGTGCTTCACACAAGAGCTTAGATTTCGTTTGACACCAAAAGAAGCAACATGATAAGAGGATTGATTTCGTTTTTCAGAATGTACCCATATCTAGATTAACCCGCCCTTTTAAAGACTTTGTTAAAGGTTTAAATAAATTTTATTTACAAATACTCCCGTGGCGTGAAGGCAGGATTAATACATTTTTACATTTTCTAGGAGCCTGTTTCACGTAGTTTTCTCTGTATGCCGTTTTTAAAAATTATTTTGTCTTGTTCTTTACCGATGATGTTTAGGACAAGTGGTCCTTTTTCTTTTTTATTCCTTATGCACTTGGCTGACGTAAACTTACACTACTTTTTTGGAGCCTCCTTATCAGAACTTTTAGCCGCATCTGCACACTTTTTCTTCTCAGCAGCTTCTTTCTCTTTTTTAGCTGCCTCTGCACACTTTTTCTTCTGTGCTGCCTCTTTTTTCTTTTGAGCGTCCTCTTTGCACTTTTTCTTAAGAGCTTCTTGGTTACGTTTCTTTTTAAGATCTTCCATCTTTTTTTTGTTTTTTAAAGCAGCCTCTTTACACGTATTCTTAAGAGCTTCTTCTTTTCCATTCTTTTGGGATTCACACTTTTTCTTTTCAGCAGCTTCTTTCTCTTTTTTAGCAGCATCTGCGCATTTCTTCTTTTCAGCCGCTTCCTTCTCCTTTTTAGCGGCATCTGCGCACTTCTTCTTTTCAGCCGCTTCCTTCTCCTTTTTAGCGGCATCTGCGCACTTCTTCTTTTCAGCCGCTTCCTTCTCCTTTTTAGCGGCATCTGCGCACTTCTTCTTTTCAGCCGCTTCCTTCTCCTTTTTAGCGGCATCTGCGCACTTCTTCTTTTCAGCCGCTTCCTTCTCCTTTTTAGCGGCATCTGCGCACTTCTTTTTCTCAGCGGCTTCCTTTTCTTTCTGAGCCGCCTCAGCGCATTTCTTCTTTTCAGCAGCTTCTTTCTCTTTCTGAGCCGCCTCAGCGCACTTTTTCTTTTGAGCCTCTTCTGCTTCTTTTTTAGCAGCATCAGCGCATTTCTTCTTCTCAGCCGCTTCCTTCTCCTTTTGAGCCGCCTCAGCGCATTTCTTCTTCTCAGCCGCTTCCTTTTCTTTCTGAGCCGCCTCAGCGCATTTCTTCTTTTCAGCAGCTTCTTTCTCTTTCTGAGCCGCCTCAGCGCACTTTTTCTTTTGAGCCTCTTCCGCTTCTTTTTTAGCAGCATCAGCGCATTTCTTTTTCTCAGCCGCCTCCTTTTCTTTCTGAGCAGCCTCGGCGCATTTCTTCTTCTCAGCCGCTTCTTTCTCTTTCTGAGCCGCCTCAGCGCACTTTTTCTTTTGAGCCTCTTCCGCTTCTTTTTTAGCAGCATCAGCGCATTTCTTCTTCTCAGCCGCCTCCTTTTCTTTCTGAGCTGCCTCAGCGCATTTCTTCTTCTCAGCAGCTTCTTTCTCTTTCTGAGCCGCCTCAGCGCACTTTTTCTTTTGAGCCTCTTCTGCTTCTTTTTTAGCAGCATCAGCGCATTTCTTCTTCTCAGCCGCTTCCTTTTCTTTCTGAGCCGCTTCAGCGCACTTTTTCTTTTGAGCCGCCTCAGCCTCTTTTTTAGCAGCATCAGCACATTTCTTCTTCAGAGCTGCCTCTTGCTCTTTTTTAGCAGCTTCTGCGCATTTCTTTTTCTCAGCCGCTTCCTTTTCTTTCTGAGCTGCCTCAGCGCATTTCTTCTTTTCAGCAGCTTCTTTCTCTTTCTGAGCCGCCTCAGCGCACTTTTTCTTTTGAGCTGCTTCTGCTTCTTTTTTAGCAGCATCAGCGCATTTCTTTTTCTCAGCAGCTTCCTTTTCTTTCTGAGCTGCCTCAGCGCATTTCTTCTTCTCAGCAGCTTCTTTCTCTTTCTGAGCCGCTTCAGCGCACTTCTTCTTTTGAGCCTCTTCCGCTTCTTTTTTAGCAGCATCAGCGCATTTCTTTTTCTCAGCCGCCTCCTTTTCTTTCTGAGCTGCCTCAGCGCATTTCTTCTTCTCAGCAGCTTCTTTCTCTTTCTGAGCCGCCTCAGCGCACTTTTTCTTTTGAGCCGCCTCTGCTTCTTTTTTGGCAGCATCAGCGCACTTTTTCTTTTCAGCCGCTTCCTTTTCCTTTTTAGCGGCATCTGCGCATTTCTTTTTCTCAGCCGCTTCTTTCTCTTTCTGAGCCGCCTCAGCGCATTTCTTCTTCTCAGCAGCTTCTTTCTCTTTCTGAGCCGCCTCAGCGCACTTTTTCTTTTGAGCCGCCTCTGCTTCTTTTTTGGCAGCATCAGCGCACTTTTTCTTTTCGGCCGCTTCCTTTTCTTTCTGAGCCGCCTCGGCGCATTTCTTTTTCTCAGCAGCTTCTTTCTCTTTCTGGGCCGCCTCAGCGCACTTTTTCTTTTGAGCCGCTTCTGCTTCTTTTTTAGCAGCATCAGCGCATTTCTTTTTCTCAGCCGCTTCCTTCTCCTTTTGAGCAGCCTCTGCGCATTTCTTCTTCTCAGCCGCTTCCTTTTCTTTCTGAGCCGCCTCAGCGCACTTTTTCTTTTCAGCCGCTTCCTTTTCCTTTTTAGCGGCATCTGCGCATTTTTTCTTTTCAGCTGCTTCCTTCTCTTTCTGGGCAGCCTCAGCGCACTTTTTCTTTTGAGCCGCTTCTGCTTCTTTTTTGGCAGCATCAGCGCACTTTTTCTTTTCAGCCGCTTCCTTTTCCTTTTTAGCGGCATCTGCGCATTTCTTTTTCTCAGCCGCTTCTTTCTCTTTCTGAGCCGCCTCAGCGCATTTCTTCTTCTCAGCAGCTTCTTTCTCTTTCTGGGCCGCCTCAGCGCACTTCTTCTTTTGAGCCGCTTCTGCTTCTTTTTTGGCAGCATCAGCGCACTTCTTTTTTTCAGCCGCTTCCTTCTCCTTTTTAGCGGCATCTGCGCATTTTTTCTTCTCAGCCGCTTCCTTTTCTTTTTGAGCCGCCTCAGCGCACTTTTTCTTTTGAGCCGCTTCTGCTTCTTTTTTGGCAGCATCAGCGCACTTTTTCTTTTCAGCCGCTTCCTTTTCCTTTTTAGCGGCATCTGCGCATTTCTTTTTCTCAGCCGCTTCTTTCTCTTTCTGAGCCGCCTCAGCGCATTTCTTCTTCTCAGCAGCTTCTTTCTCTTTCTGGGCCGCCTCAGCGCACTTCTTCTTTTGAGCCGCTTCTGCTTCTTTTTTGGCAGCATCTGCGCATTTCTTCTTCTCAGCCGCTTCCTTTTCTTTCTGAGCCGCCTCAGCGCATTTCTTTTTCTCAGCAGCTTCCTTTTCTTTCTGAGCCGCCTCAGCGCATTTCTTCTTCTCAGCAGCTTCCTTTTCTTTTTGAGCCGCCTCAGCGCACTTTTTCTTTTGAGCCTCTTCTGCATCTTTTTTGGCCATATCTGCGCATTTTTTCTTCTCAGCATCTTCCATACATTTTTTTTTCAGTTCCTGCACCTCACGCCTTATATTAGCTTCTTCTTCACTTTTTTCCTTCATCATCAGTTTTTCTAATTCTTTATCCATTTTTGGCGGTTGCTCTGGTTTCTCTGCTTCTTTTTTGGCACGTTTGTTCTCTTTTCCTTGTCCAGATTCTTCACACATTTCTTTTAAGACCTTCTTTCTGCAGACTTTCTTAAATTCAGCCTCAAGACATTTGTGAGATTGCGCAAGTTTTTCCTTCTCTTGTTTAGTAAACTTACTTCGACACTGACAAACATCGGCCCATTCGCCCTTGATGCACTTTTCCAATTTCAATGTAAACCGATTTTTGGCCTTATCTGTGTTTTCAGCGGGTTTGTTCAAGGAAGAACAAATTTCTTCAATTGGATCTTTCTGTCCAGAGCATCCATCATCCTTTGGTTGCGCATCCTTGGACTGGCCATCCTTGGGCTGGCCATCCTTGGCCTGCGCGTCACCGTCCTTATTGTCCGCCTCACACTTACTCATTAACCCTTTAACTTTATCATTCTTAGCAAGTTCCGAGCACTGGGCTTCAAGTGCTTTTTCTTCCCCGAATTTCTTTTGGGCAATTCTTTTGCAAGCCTTTTTCATGCTCTCTGTCAGACAGGACATCATGCTTTGCATCAACTTTTGATCTTTTTTGTCCGCACACTGCATTTCCTGATCCAAAGCTTTCTTTTGAGCCTCCAAGCATTGCTTCTCCAGCAATTGTAACTTTTCTTCGTCCTTCTTTTTATTGGCGGCTTCTTCTTTCTCTTTTTTCAGTATTTCTTCACAGCCACCCTTGTTTGGATCGTCTGAGGATTCCGAGTCTGCCGACTTACTGAATGGCATTCGTTGCATGCTACTAAGCGAACTCGGCAAGTGAGTTCGGTCCATGCAGTCCGTCAGGTAGGATAGTCCCCTTAAAACGGGTTTACGCAGATGGATGGATGAGAACCGGTATAAAGACATGTTGAATTTATTAAGAGATAATTTTGTTAAAAGAAAAAAAAACTGTAATTTGGAAAATTCGGCTATAATTTTATTTTTGTGTTAGGCTAAAATTTAGACATAATTGAGGCCAAAAAGTGAACTGAATTGTAGGACTGACTATTTCAGACTAACTTATTTTTATCAAACGAAACGGAATATTTGCTTAAATAAACATATGAGTACTAGATGTAAAATAAAAATGCTTTCCTAGGAAATTGAGTAAAGCAAATTTGAAGAATGTGCATGTGTATGAAATGCAAGTTGACTAGTCTTTTACTTCTAATTTTAAAGAGCGATAGACTCATGGACACCTAGTAATTTTTTATAAGCGATTCTGCTGTTAATCATTTTATATATTTTTCCCATTCGAAAAAAAAATTGTTAAAATGTTTTTATTATTATCCAAATGAACTAATTCGCTTGCCTATTCATTATCTGCAAACCAGTTTTCATCCGAACCGGATAAGTAATATTTTATATACATATTTTTAAGCTGAAAACCAAAACGTTAGCGTATTAACCTGGAGCCCGAACCGAATCATATTTTTTCAAAAAATTGTCTGCTTTAGCATCAAAATTTTTCAGATAGAACCTGTCGCTTCGAGTCGTTAGCCAAGCCAATCACCATATCGACTCAAATTTAGTTCACTTAATTAAAAAATGCATAGATGGCAACCTTGTAGTTCCATCGCAGTGGTTGGTCTTATGATTCAGGCAGTCGAGTGAATCGAAACAAACAAGTACAGAAGTGGCGACAGCAAGGTCGTAGCCCAAAGTTGTCCCTGTCGTCTGATAGTCGCTGTAATCACTTAACATATGTATATTTAATAGCAAACATATTATAGCCAGTGGATAAGAACCAAGATAAGATCTCGCAAACATTTACACTAACCAATAATTCCATTAATGGAGACTACAGCCTAATGAGAGTTAGTTACACAAATGAGGAACTGGCATATATCATGTATTATCTGCTTTCAGGACTTATTTTCAAAGTGAAAAGAACGTATGCTCGCCTCAGTTAATTATTTCCACAGTTTTTTAAAGAAGGAATATTTATCAAAATATATACTTAATACCTATTATTTCTTTAAATGCACTTATTCTTAAATTTAAAAGCGACTTATGATGATGCTTAAATTGGCTTAAGGTCTAGTTTCGAGGGCATGAACAACGAGTTGGACCTACTTTTGTGGAACACAATAAAGTAATTAAGAAACGTATAAGCGAAAAAAGTCGAGTATGGTTGGGACGGTTGGAAACTGGCGAAAAGAAAAGATTTTTTACAAGCAAACAATTTAAATATAAATGTGTCACAGAAGTATCAGGACACAGACTCAACTACGATTTTGAATTCAGCTTTGCATTCGGATTCAGCGTAAACGATTCAAAAATTACCAACAAAAACAAGAACAATGGCAAAAGCAAGTTACACAAAATTAATGAGAACGTAAAAGTATTTGAATATAAAATGTTGCCAGCGCACACACGTAATTGCGGCGAAAGTTTTGAGTATACGTATGTGTGTGTGTGTGTCCGTGTGCGCCGTAAAATGTTAAAGCATACTTATGTGCGCCACTGTAGTCAGGTGTGTAGTCAACTTGGCTCGGCGTTGTCTGCTGTTGTCTGCTTGGCGGCGCATGAAGTGAAAATTAATTTCTAAATGCGGGAAATTAACAAATTACAAACAACGCGACAAGCGAAGGGTAAAGGGCAAAGGGCAGCAGGTGGCAGGCAGCAGGCAGCAGCAGGCGGAAGTAGACATGCCATAACTTACAAGCGCGCACACACACACATGTACTTGGCGCATTCATGCGCAGCAGCAAAGTTCGCTTTGGGGGCGGCAAGTTCCATGGAGAACTCAAGGTGTTGAAGCGCAGGTGAGACACATTGTCTTACCTTTGCCTGCCAGCCATGAAGTTGTAGACATATTTCTACACTCCACGCACACATGCACACACTCAAAGGCACCCCACAGCCCCGCCCGCTGACAGTTGACAGCTTTGCTAATTTCCAGCAGCCACCCACCGAAAATGAAGTCGGGCGTCTGTCTTGCGCTGCCATCACAGCCCGTACCCCTTTCCAGCCACGGCTTCCCCTTTTACACCTGGGCCCCCAACCACAGCCGATGCGGTCGCGCTTTCAACATTTAATTAAGTTGTGCTCGATTTTATGTTCGACAAAATTGTTTGTCTGCCGCCTGCACTTGCTGTTGCCTATTTTAAATCTGAAGAGTCAACGTTGCGGTGTGCGTGTGTGCGCGCGTGTGTGAGTGTGTGTGGGCCTGTGGGTGTGGCACTCGCTTGTCATGTCGCGGTTGTGGCTGTCGCTCGCGTTGTTTTCCTGTCATTTGCTGACATTTTTTGCGGCTAATGCAAAGAGATTTGAAAATTGTTAACAAAAAGTTAAAATACCTAAGTGCATGAAGTTACACATAATTAGAATATGCTTGTAGAAATTCACAAAACACACAAACATTCAAGCCAAGAAACTATCTTTAAATAAAACCATAAAGTTTCGGCTTACAGTGCAGAAAATTTTGAAGCTTCTAATTGATGATTGCAAATTATCCATCATCGAAAGCAAACTCGTTCTGCGCGGGCATTAGGAGGACCTAAATTCTAAACCAAGTCTCTAGTTCTTATAAATTCTGAGATCCTTGCGTTCATACATACGGACGGACGGGCAGGCGGACAGATAGACCGACATGGCTTAATCAACTTGTATATTGATGCTGATCATGAATAAATATACCTTATGAGTTCGGAGATATTTCCTTCCGCATGAAGCAACATGATAGTGAATAGCTTTGAAAATAAGAGATAGGTTTGCATATAAAAGAGAGAAGGATTGACAAATCTATACATCTGTTTATACTTATTAAGAATGTGTATGCTTTATGGTGTTCGGTATGTCTTCTTCATTTCATATAGTTTAAATTTGCCCGAATATTTTGTTAAATATTTTTATCAAGTGAGGCTCAATAAAATAACCCATTGCCTTTCCTTAAAAGGACCAACTTATAAAATTCACCAGGCCGATTAAATTTCGTATATGATGGCATGACAAATTACATTCCAAAAACGTCGCCTTGTGCTTAGTCTTGTCTATCACTACTACATAAAAACTATTAGACGGGCGAGCGAAAATCGCCCACCCAGAATGGTGCAGGGGGAGTGAAAATAAAAAAAAAAACGATTTATAATTGCGACTGCTCGTCTTGTCTATTGTCATTCGGTTGGGCAAGAAGACTGCTGGTGGGGAGATGACATGCGGTCGCCGCGTAGTCTGACTGTCTCCTAGGCAAAGATTCATCTTAAAGCCTCGATTTGCGCCATTGTCAGTGTCACCGACACAAAGACAGACTCGCGTCTGTGTGCATAGATACAAGTAGTTGTGCGGTTGGGGCTTGGCTCATTCATCAGTCGGTACTCATTCCACTGACGGCATTCATCCGTGCACTCATTTAGACATTTGCTGCGCATTTGGCATTGTTAACTATCCTCTTCCATTTCCCCTTCTATTGTTTTACCGTGTTTTTTGCTGTTTTTCTTTTTTTTTTCATTTGGAAGCTGCTACTGCTGCTGCTGCTGCTGTTGCTGTTGATTGTTGCACAAGGATTTGTCAAGGATAAAACACTCGAGGCCAGTCGAGTTGGTAGTCATGATTATGTTGATGTCTACGCTTATGATGATGTCCCTGTTCTTGTTGTTGTTGTTGTTTAGTTGCATACTCAGCATCGCTGCCAGCTGTTTGTGTTTAAGGTTAGATTGGGGCTGTGACGCCATCATAAGGACATTGTCATTGTAGCTGTTGCAGTTATTGTTGCCCCTTCAGCTTCTTCTGCTTGCTGTGGCGCATTATAAAACAGTTATTGATTTTGCGTTTAGAAATGGCTTATTGGCACACAGTCTGACGGCCTTGGAGTACGTCATGATATATGGATTATGCTGCAGCTCTTGTCTGTAATGTGATATTTCAGCTTAAAAACGAGCAACGCACATAACCTTTCAAAATATTGCTACACATCCTGTACTCATAACCACTTAAGTCCTCCTTGAGCTAATGAAGTTTATTAGACAGTAAGCCCTGCTAATTTTTCGTCTTAATATAAGTATGGACACATCTGAGAGAAAACCTCTTTTCACTGGTAGACCCTTAGATGTAGATATACGAAATTCGGTATGTGGAAAGTATAAATATTTAAAAGACCGCCAGTAAATCGTACGCTGCATACAAATTTAAGAATATGCAGAACACTTAATAAGCTTATCCCTAAACAGAGCGAAAAACTGCTGGCTGACAAGACTTTTTGTACTTGATTCTATATGACAAGAATTTCTTAAACAAGGTTAGAAATCCATTTAATATATTTCAACGTAAACTTAAATAAATCATTTATTTTCAGAGTTCGTTATATTAAGGAATAACTTGTGAACAATTAATAATATATAATTCAAGATTGATTGGGGCTTGTTGCAACAATAAATAAATCTTCTACCACGGTTAAGGCATACTTGCAATATGATCAGAAATTCTTGTTTCAAGGCTAAATTGATATTAATTAAAGACCAAAATGTGATAAATACAAGTATTTTGGATCATAAATTTAGTATGATTTCAGTTCTGGAGCTCTTGAATCTAGATTTATATAAGCTTATTTTAAGCTCAAACTGGGATTGTATTACGAACATATAGGTGTTACATTAAGAATCGTTAAAACTTACACTCTTATACTTAAAATAAGAATTTCATACCTGAATCAAGTATTACCGGTCTTACCTTACTTGATTCAAGATGATTTTCTCTCTCTCTCTGTATATATAAAATATATTGAATACGGAAATAAATAACAGGTTCATATTTAAAAAGAAATACATCAGCATTTATCTCAGAGAAACGTCAAGATATGATGTTAGTTTATTTTATCCTAGGCATACGCTTTTGCACTTAACAAGATACCCATAATACGTACAACTAAGTACCACAAATTTCCTAATACTGGAGTCTCACATATTTAGTAATAGAAACTAAGTGGTGCTTTGGGCAGATCTTAAAGCGACCTAATCCCGTTGCATCATTTTGTTTTACAAATTCGTTTACTTTTTACAACAAATTGAAGGAAGCAGCGAGT